CAGACTAGTACGTCATCGATCACTGACCTGGAATTGGTACTACCTGCTGAGATCATGAGAGGCTCCGAGCTGAATTCAGACTGATGGATCCATATGCGCCATTTATGTTCATCGCTACACGAATGCACACCGGAAAGCCAGCTCCTCTTGGTTTAAAATATAAGACCTTTTGTTGAAACAGATGTTTCTTGTTTCATTTATACCGCATACAATATTGTTCTTGCGTGCGTGAGCAACATTTGACTAGATAGCAGAGAGCGTCGATCTTGTGCTTGTACTCCGACGATCCATCCATCCCATCCCCCGTGCAGCTTAATTGGCAGCACGCATGCGCACATGACGAAACGGCCGGCCGGTACTCCAGTAGGCCAGGAGAGTAGATCGAGTAGTACTTATTTGCACCCTAGCTTGAAGAAATGAATGAATGATTCAGCTTAATTGGTTTATCTACTGTTGCTCCTCCATGCCTGTCACAGACTCACCCAGTGCATATATAGTGATCCCCGTTGCATGTTTCACTAAAGTTGTTCCAGTATATATAGAGCTAATTAAAATTGTGCTCCATCCGTCCGTTATAAATTATAAGTCGTTCTATCTTTTCTAGGTAGAGTATGCTTGTGCAGCTTTTGCTGCTAATTCATGTAAGAACCCCATTTTCTCTTAATAATTGAAAGACCTGCAACGGTTGCCGAAAAAAGAAAGAAAGATATAATTCGTAAACCTATCTTAGGAAGTATAATTCAAGTTCCCAAACTCTTACAGCGTACGTATTTTGATACACATCCTTAAACTTTTCAATGTCGGTCGTTCACATCCTTAAACTTTTAGGTCCAATACATACATAGTACACTACTGCTTCTCCCGAAGTATCAATCGCGCTTTTTCTCTCCGAGCATGCTTGAAGCAGAATTTGGAAACCAATGGATCGGATAAAAAATTAAGCAGCCGGCCGAAGTAAGCAGTCCACACACAGCCTGATCAGGTGCACGTTGTACGTGTGCCCCAATAGGCCAATATCATCATCAATAATATATATATTAGAAATTTCCTGAAACATGCAAGTGATGATCATCGATCGGCAGATGGTGATCGAGTGGTTCCGATTTCGATGATCCTTCCAGCAGTTTCTATTTTGCAAGCTAGCTAGGGCCGTGTGTGCGCGCGCACGTTTTGCCTGCTCGAGCTAAATCAATGTACGTAGTATGCACGTACAATGTACTTGTATGTGGTCTGAATTGAATCATAAGACCCAAGATTTGATCCAACACCTGTCTGTCAGTCTGTCTACCTATATATCCTCGATCGAGAAACCGATGGATGGATTCAATAATCCAATCCAATCCATACATACATACATACGCACGCACGCAACAGCTCAAGCGACAGATCGAGAGATACATGCATATACATTTGTACTAAGCTAGAGTAGAGAATGAACACTGTAATCTCGTAAATTAGAATAGTAATTATCGTAACTCAAAGTGGCTACAAAATAAGTTATTTTATAGCCGGGTAGTAGTTATATATATAGTAAGCCACTCTTTTGGCACTCCTCGTTGATGCTTACACCCTTTAGAGCTTGATATACACTTTGTTCATAAAAAATCACATTTGGGTGACATTGAGAGTGCTCCGGTGTATTTTTATAGTTGATTTGCATATTATGGCACTAGTTGAGCGTGACGGCCTTGGTGCTCTTGAAACTTTTGGTGGTTGCCGCCACCTAGACATCTTGGAGCAAGTTGGATCATCGAGCACCTTGTGGTGATTGTATGGTGGCTCCGATCAAGTTCATTGTGAGAGTTACCAAGAACACCTAGTGTATTGTTTTGTGCTCACCCTGCCGGCCGGAGATCGCGAAAGGTATCGCTTTAATTGGCGATGGCTCCATGTGAGCATCAATCAAACAAACTAATTAATCAGCTTTCCATGTATCCATTTTTTTATTGTGGTCATTATCACACGCACACTATATACATACTGTACTCTACAAGGAGTAATATAATAATACTACTGTGGCCATTTTCCACTACTACACAAACTTTCTTTGGGCGGCGTTTCGGTTTTTCCTTGCCGGGCAAAGCCGTCCTCCATCAGCCTAGAGGCCCTGATAAATGTGTGGCTTAACTGCATGCGGGCGGCTTTGCCCGCCGTGGTTAATAATCGATTTCAGCGGCGGCTCTTTAGGATGCCCGCCGCGGTTAATAGTTTAAAAAACAAAAAAAAACCCAGGAGCCCGTCGGCGAGCCCATTCTCGAGCCCACCGACGAGCCCGTTCCCAGCCCAATACCAGCGCCACCGCACCTCGCTGGATCCGCCGCCGGGGTCTCCTCCTCGCCGTATCCGCCGCCGGAGAGGTCATCCTCGCCGGATCCGCGGCCAGGGAGGACGACCTCGCCAGATCTATGGCCAGGGAGCGCAGATCGACCGGATCCGAGGCCGTGGATGAAGAGGAGGCCGGACCCGCGCCGTGGACGACGACGGCGCTGGATCCGCCGTGAGGCCATGGAGGAGGCTGTCGTCGTCGATCCGCCGCCGGGACGCCTTGATCCACCGTCGGGAGCCTCGATCCATCGCCGGGACACCTCGATCCGGCCTTGGAGGAGGCTGTCGTCATCGATCCGCCGCCGGGAGCCTCGATCCGTCGCTGGGAGACCTCGATCCAGCCTTGGAGGAGGCTGTCGTCGTCGATCCGCCACCTGGACGCCTTGGTCGCCCTTGGACGAGGTCGCCGTCGTCGCACCCAGCTGTCGCGGCTCCGTGCGCGCCGTCGCCCGGCCGGCCATCGCGCGCCGCCCGGTCGCGCGCCTATCGATCCACACGACTGGATCTGACCCCACCGAGATCCCGGATCCGCCACGCCGCGTGGCTCGATCATCCCCCCTGAACGGATCCATCGCCAAGGGGTCGCTGCGACCCAATCCATGCTTGGTGGCGGGGAAGAAGGTGGAGGGCGCGGATCCGCCTTCCCCACCCATTGGCGAGCCGGCCACGCCCGCACCGCTCTCCGCCCTGGGCCTCCGCGCCTCCGGGCCACGCCGAGAGGCCGGCCATGCCCGCGAGGCTGCGCCTCCTCTCCGGAACGCCGCGCCTCCGGCCGACGAGGCTGAGCCGCCACACCTTCGCGCCGAGAGGCCACCACGGCGAGCTCCACCACCCTGCCAAGAGGAGTGAGGGAGGGAAGAGAGAGTGAGAGGTGAGGAGGAGGGGAGACAGGAGTGGAAGGAGAGGGGTGCGGTGAGATGGGAGGGAGAGGAGTGAGGGGAGGGTGAGCTCCACCACCGCACGAGAGTCCTTCGGCTTCGCGGGCGTCTCGCGGCGAGTGGGAGGGAGAGGGGTGCGGTGGCTGAAGCTGGGTGAAACCCTAACACCTACCTTTTATATGAAGCCCAGTAGATCGGCTGATTTGGGTTCAAAATTGGGCCAGCATTTTACGTGACGGGCCTTATAGGATGCCCGCCACGGTAAATCGATTTACCGTGGCGAGCATCTTAAGACGTCCGTCACGGTAAATGCCCTATTTACCGTAGCGGGCATCTTAAGACGCCCGCCACGGTAAATCGATTTACCATGGCGGGCTAAAGTGCCCGCCACGGTAAATAAAAAATGCCCGCCGCGGTAAATCGTGGCATCTACCGCAGCGGGCAAAAATAGGTGACCACCACGGAGTGCAAAAATACAATGCTGCGCATAATCGTTTGTGTAGTAGTGTTCCAGTAGTGGTTGCTAAGCGCTTTATTAAAACCAATTAAGGTCACAGCCGGAGTATTTATTTATATGTACGTATACTGTCGGACATGGCAATTGACGACAATACCTAGTCGCTGTACGCATGATTCACTCCAGGATCTACTGAACAATCACGGCTCTAGTTGACCAATTACAAACCTTCCGAATTGAATAAGCTAGAATCAATAATGCATGATGATAGATTGTGTAGTCATGGCTTTCCCTCTCTCTCTCTCTCTGTACAAGCTACGAGTGTTAGGCACCGCAACCTACGCTGCTAACTTGATTCAAATGCTGCCTCCTCCCCCCAAAAAATATATATCTAGATGCGTTCTTTGTTAAAAGTATTTAAAGTTCCATCAAACATATAGATAAAAACAGGGATCTGCTATATTTCAGATGCCTGAAATATAACATTTTTTCAGGCGACACTGGCAGCCGTTAGATTGAGATCTAGCAGTCAAAACTGTGAGTAGTGGCCGCAACCGCAAATTAGGGGCGCGTTTGCGACCTTGTACCTGGCGGGCCTGGCCAGCCCAACTGGCCCAGGCCTGGGCAGGCCTGCCCCAAGTGGTACAACAACTCTTGTTTGCGCCTGTGTACCCAGTGAGCCTGGCTCAGGCGAGGTTGTGTTTGTCATTGAAGAGGCAGCCGGGCTGAGAGGCTAACCGCCACCAACTGCCACACCGAGATAGTGTTTGTCATTTGGCTGTGGTCGGCCAGGCCCATAACAACAAACAGAAATGGACATGAATAAAAGGAGAATGAGGTTGCTCTTCCATAACCGTTACAACAACAGATCAAAGTTTCAGCATGCAATAGTTGGTCTCAGACATGCTAGTTTAACAATTCATGGCATTACTGGCTACATGGGATAATCAAAGTCAGTAAAGAAGAACAGCAGCATCCGCTAGTCAAGTTTTGAAGCAAACAAACGAAGAAGTTCACAGAAACAGATAAGAGGCAGCAAAATGATATGTAGCCAGCTAATGCATCGATCCATTGTGTCATCATTGGCCAAAATACAACATTTAACAGTTCTTGCACATGGACAGCCTGCACCAAATTGCTGCCTATTGTCAGCCACCCTCCCAGGCATACATCTACTGAAGGTTATGTGTCAAAAGATCAACCTACACTGCACAAAAGCTCTACAGCAAACAAAATCCCAGCTGTAGTCAAAAGAAGAGAGAGTGGGTGAGGGGGGTGGAGGAACTATACATCTCAACAGTCAACCCCCTCCTGTCCATGAAGACCATCATGTAGTGCAGCTACATGAAGTAGTTTTTGGCTAAGAAGGTCTGCAGCCAAATGGTCCTATGAGCATCAGTCATGTTCACAAAGCCCCTGCCTTGGGTCTTGTTGTCCAGGAGAAAGGTGTAGGCAACAATAAGGGCCTCCTCAGAGAAGCCAGGCATCTCCATCACAGCAAGGTACAGATTGGCATCAACATGGGCAGGTCCAGTCTCCCTAAGAGCATTAGCCACATTGTTGACAGCATCAGACATGTTGGTCAACATGACTATCTCCTCCTCAGAGAAATCCCCTCTCTTCCTCTTCCCACCAACACCTGAGCAGGGCACTTCTGTGGCCTTGCTACCCTTTGCAGGTGCAGTGGGAGCTTTATCACTAGTGAGTGGGGTCAATGGAGGACCATCAACCTTGGCAGCAACACTGTCAGCCTGGTTCTGCCCTAAGGCTTCCCCAGACCCAAGTGCAAACCTACCAATGGCTAAAGCATTGCCAAATATGGCCTCCATCTCAGTGTAGAACCTAATAGGGGTGTTTAGGTACTCAGCATCTTTAGGATGGTCCTACAGTTTGGTGCACATGGAGGTTTAGACTTGTAATTGTACAAATACAAGGTATGTAGGACAATGAAATAGAACCAAATTGCTACCTTGGTGTGGCCAAGGTAGTGCTCATGGTCAAGCATGATAGCATGGGTGATGTCATCCCATAGAGCACCACTAAGGTCCTTGAGGTTGGACACCTTAGCCCATTTCTACCTCCATTTTCTCAAGTGGTTGTACACTTGAGTAGGGCTAACAACCTCCCCACACCAGTCCTTAAGGGCTTTGGCTACATGATTCACATCTTTATCCTTGAAGACCTTGTCAGACCTGCTGCCATCAGTGACCAGAGCAGCCATTCTCCTAAGAACAAAACCAGAGGTGTTGTTGGACCACCTCATAGCCCTAACACCACCACCACCAGCAGGATCAACTGCTACTGGAGCAGCACCAGCACCAATACCAGCTGCCACAGGAGCAGCAGCATTAGCACTAGCACCAGCTACAATAGGAGCAACAGTCCCACCACTTATGAGCTCCTCAAGGACATCAGAAGCTGCCACAAACCCTCCTTGACCAACACCTGGGACTGAAGCCATTCTAGTACTGGTGTGCATGAATAAGAATAGATAACAGCATGACACAGTTAGATAAACATAATGCAACAATCACAGAAAGAACAGAATGAAACAAGAAACCAAATACAAAATCAATAAACCACAGAATTAAGTGACAAATCAGTGGTCTCAGCCTTGTCCATCTAATTATTACATCATCATCACACAAACATGAGTTTCATAGCAGGGTACACAAACTGAATTCAAGAACAAATTACGAGGCACATCAAATCCTATTATTTCCCCTTCCAGCCCACATAGCATCACAGATGGCATCCCTCATTGCAGCCATGTCAATGGAGTCTTGGTCCAGATGTCCAGGAGGCAAGTCAAGTGGTTCAGGTGGGGAGCCAGTAAAACCATCCTCATGAGGCACTACTTCATCAATGCCAAAGCCTAGGATCCAGTTGTGTAAAATGGCACAGGCAACTACACGCTTGACTTGTGTCCTGTACTTGTGGAAGGGCTTGTTGTCCAAGATCCTAAACCTGAGCTTCAGTGCACCTATAGTGATGAGGACATCACTTCTTCAGAGGCACACGCTGATCCTCCAACCGTTATGCAAGGTCCAATGACCCGGGCTCGAATGCGTCAACTCAATTTAGAGGTGAGCTCGTTCTTAGGCGACCCTTTTTATACTTTTGAGAATAGACTACTATCTAATGATGTTATCTTGCTTAGGAACATTGGAGAGGGTCAAGAGGGACTAAGAGGACGTGGAGGAGGTGATGATGACCAGCAAGGACGTCCAACACGAACCAGAGGCCCAGTCCAACATGTTTTCGAGTCTGCCTCGTCCTCCAGGACCAGTCTGCCTTAAACTGGTCACCCAGGATGCATCCGGACTCCGTTTTCGACGATCCACATATGGATGGAAAGCTAATTTGATAAGGAAGCCAATCCAAGTGGTCTCACATTAAAAGCTGTTTGGAATCAACAGGAATCGTGGTCACAAGACAGCGTCCAGAATTTGCCAGGGTGCTGTGACACCGTCTTTTGGTCCGTTGGACCATGTATCGTGTTTGGGCCCGTTAGGGGCGCGTCCAGGGGTCTTGCACGATCCTAGGGTCTTCATAAACAGCCGCCGCTCCTCCATTAGGGTTCGGGTTTTGCTTAGATTATTCTGTGAAGAACAGTTTTACCGTTCATCGGTTTGTGAGACCCCAACTTTGTGAGATTAATCATTCATCAGCAAATCGGTTGCTTTTTTCCTTATTCTTGCTTGTGTTCTTCGTTGCACAGGCAGGGATTAGCCTTCTTGGCGAGGTCAACCTGTTCCGTGACTTGGTTGATAACCAGAGGAGCTGTGGTGCTAAGATTGCAGGGTTCGATCTTTCGATCTGAAGCCGGATCGGTGTGTCATTCTCCGCCACAACGATAGTTACCAGTACCTGACGGAAGATCGGGATACCCGTACCCATTAAGTGGTAATCAGAGCTAAGGTATATCGTCAGGTTCACTTTTATTCCCTAGTTTGAGTCTTTCGCATTCGTCCCATAGTCCAGTGCCATACTTGTTTTTCCTGTCCTAGAACCTTCCGCGCCATAGCCTTTGCATATTTCAGTTTCAGAGTCCGTCGTGTTGAGTTTGTGTCCTGGTCGAGGTCTTGTTGCTGGTTAGGTCGTGTTAGAGTCCAGTTCGTGTGTTTTCTCCCATCGTTTCCATCAAATCTTGGCTGCCGTGACCAATTTTGCATACATTGTTCCCGTTTTGTCCTCTAATTCGGAGCCAATTTTTAAAACTGGTCTAGTTTTCCCATACGAACTCCGTTTTCGACGTTCCATATATGCAAATCGATCAGAAATTTTTTTTGGATCCATCCATCCTTGTTTTGTTGGGGTCGGAGATTTTTAAATTGGTCAAAAAGTGGTCACAAGATCCTCTTTTCGTGGTCACAAGGTTTTTGTCGATTTTGATCCAGTTTTCTAAAAATTCCACAGGCCACGTCTTTCACTTGTTTGAGCTCATATTTTCTGTGGTTACTTCTTTTGTGCTCCTACATAAAGGAAAAATATCAAAAAATAAAATAAAAAAGTCAAAATTTCCTAAAATAACAACGACAGCCTAAAAAATAGAAAAAAAGAGAGGGGCAAAAGAGGAACAATATTTAGAGGAGCACATAGAGAAGTCCAAAGTGAGCTGTGTTAGCATGTGTTGTCTGGTTCCTTATTTGTGTTGCTATCTCCATCTACCATACTTGTTTTTCTCACACCTATCACCTTGCTATCCACCATACTTTTGTCACACACCTGGTACTTGCAACACTTTAGACCAGCAACGAGAACAAGTACTTTTGATTATAATTCAGCATTACTTTCTATTACTGACTTGTGTGCCAGATATACATATTACTCTTTGTTTGCCTTCCAAGCTCCACAAATTCTTCAGATCAGTATAGACAAAGGGCTTTGCAATCTCGGTACCACTGCCTCACAGGTATCACGAACCAGCCGCCGGTTGTACCGTCCACTGCTTGCGTTGGTAAGAACTTTGTAAGAGCTTGGTAAGACGCTTCCACTTGCTGTGAAAAGTGACACCACTGCAACCACGTAATCATTTGGTAGGGATAACTTTCACCGTTTGTTCCTGTTTTTGTGTTTACAATGGCAGGAGGAGAACAGACTGGAGATAACAATCCTAAGGGTTTCAACGAGTGTGTCAGTCAAGAGCAACTACAAGCTGTTGTAGAGGATGCCCAAAAAAGGATGAATGAGGCCGTCAGAAAGGCCGTCACTGACACACTCATTGAACTCAACATTGGCAACAGCATGGAGAGATTGGACAAAAGAATTTCCACGCTAACCAACAAGGTTACTAAGTTGGAAACATTGGTGGCGATCAACAACAATGACGTCTCCGGCAGCAACACCGATGGTCTCTTGTAAGAAGACACGGTGCATGATGCTGCTAGAAACATGGATCGAGCAGCCTTCCGACAAGCGAGATTACAACGACGTCTTCGCCGCAACACAACAGGTATGGGTGGTGTCCACCACCACCATCAAGGTAATAATCACCGTGTACCCGATGATCCTTATGCTAAGATTAAGTTCACAATACCATCTTTTTCGAGTCATTATGATGCTGAGGGATATCTTGATTAGGAGATGACAGTAGAACAAAAGTTTAGTGCCCACCTGGTGCCTGAGCATCATAGAGTTCGTCAAGGTACTAGTGAGTTTAAGGATTTTGCCATTATTTGATGGAATGGGCTAGCTGCATAGGATGTTTTACCTGGTACATGGGAAGAACTTAAGGTAGCTAAGTTTTGTCCCTCCTTCTTATCATAGAGACTTGCGTAAGAAATTGATGCGTTTAGAACAAAGAGATAAATCTGTACAGGATTACTATGGTGAGCTCCAAAAGGGATTGATGCGCTGTAGTGTTGTGGAGGGAAACGAAGATGCCATTTGTCATTTTTATTCGGGTTTGAGGCGTGAGATTCAGGACATTGTTGATTATAAAGAATTTAACACTGTCAACCAGTTGTTTCAGTTTGCTATGCTTGCAGAAAAGGAATTGCAGGGGCGTGAACAGCAGGGCAAGAGCAAGGTCAGCATCACATACACGCCACGCTCGGCACCATCATCGGGGCTAACCAAGCCAACCACCTTTCGGTCGCCTCCTCCAGCGAGCAAGCGACCAACAGCCTCTGGAGTTTTCGCTACACCTAAGGAACCTCCCGCACGACCTTTAGATTTAGGTAAAAATTCTTTGCAGATGCCTACCAAGAGTTCCTCATCCATTGCATCGACGGGACGCACTTCAGGCATTCAGTGCCACCGCTGCCATGGCATTGGCCATGTGCAGAAGGACTACCCAAGTCAGCGGGCAAATATTGCTACAAAAGATGGTTACATCAACACCTCTGACATTGAGGATGAAGAAGACCAAGATGCAGATGAGGAGGACGGCGAAGTCCTTGGTGATGAGGCCACGGTGGTCTATAGGAGCATCATTGTACAGTGGGTGCTCAGCTCACAAGTCCAGCAACCTAAGAAGCTACAACGCCATAACTTGTTCTAGATTTTCTTCGTCATCAGCGACCGTCGTGCACGTGTCATTATTGACGGAGGTAGCTGCAATAATTTTGTGAGTTCTGATTTGGTCAAGAAACTTGGCTTGACCACACGCCCACACCCACGTCCATACCATATTTAGTGGCTAAATGACTCAGGTAAAGTAAAGGTAACACAAACTTGCAGAGTTTCATTTTCCATTGGTTCTTATGCTGATTCTGTTGATTGTGATGTGGTATCTATGCGAGCTTGTTCACTCTTATTGGGTCGTCCTTGGGAACATGATAATGATGCTACACACCATGGTAGAAGTAATAAATACACTTTTGTGCATAAAGGAAAGAAAATTACTTTGGTACCTTTGACCCCTGCTCAAATTGTACAAGCTGATAGAGAATGCGCTGCTAGTTTGAATGATGTCCAATCTGAAAATCAGCAAGTTGCTAATTCTATTTTCCCACCTAAAAAGGATAAGTCTACATCTATTTCTAAGGCTGAGGGGATTAAATTGAAGGTTGGTGTTATGCTTGCAACAAAATGTGACTTTGCTGAAATTTCTGATGATGATATTTGCTATGCTTTGGTATGCAAACGAGCTATGTTTTCGCTTGATGATATTGTAAGCTCAGTGCCTCCTGCTGTCACTAACCTTTTGCAGGAGTATGAGGACATTTTTCCAGCTAAGATACCCTTAGGGCTGCCACCTATGAGAGGGATAGAGCATCAAATTGATTTGATTCCGGGAGCAACCTTGCCCAACCGTGCTGCTTATCGAACCAATCCTGAGGAGACTAAGGAAATTCAGCGACAAGTCCAAGACCTTTTGGACCGCGGGTACGTACGTGAAAGCCTTAGTCCTTGTGTCGTTCATGTACTTTTGGTTCCTAAGAAAGATGGAAGTTGGCGTATGTGTGTTGATTGTAGAGCCATCAATAATATTACTATTCGGTATTGTCATCCTAT